AAATTTTATTTAAGCGAGATATTAAAAAAATTCAACTTCATTCCGTACATTTTTTATGTTTGTTTGTGCACCGCTTCATCGCCATTTTGAATTTCTCCCCACTCAACGAGGCACATGATTTTTCACAAAAATTAAAAAGTTCGAAATTTTAATTGATCGAATTACTTTAAATCGATATTTTATTTGGTCGAAATTCTAAAAGAACGACAGTTATGAAAGTCGACATTTTATTTAGTCGATATTTTATTTGACCGAAATTCTAAATGATCGATATTTAAAGTGGTCGACATTTTATTTGGTCGATATTTTGTTTATTCGAAATTCTAAATGATCAATATATAAAGTGGTCAACAATTTTGTTTGGTCGATATTCTAAATGATCCACATTTAAAGTGGTCGAGATTCTAAAAGATAGAAATTTAGAAGCATCGAATTTTATATTCATCGAAATTTAATTTGGTCGATATTTTAAAAGCTCGACATTTTTTTAGCTATATGAGTTTCCTCTCTATGTTGTTATTATTATTTACATCAATAATTTCAAATTTCCCGCGAAATTTCAATGTACTTTACCGACAAACTACATAGAAAGGAAACTCGTATAGCTAAAAAAGTGTCGAGCTTTTAAAATATCGACCAAATTAAATTTTGATGGATATAAAATTCGATGCTTCTAAATTTCCATCATTTAGAATATCGAACAAATAAAATATCGACCACTTTAAATGTCGTTCATTTAGAATATTTACCAAACAAAATATCTAACTAATAAAATTTCGACCACTTTAAATGTCGATCATTTAGAATTTCGACCAAATAAAATATCGTCTAAATAAAATGTCGACCTTCATAAATGTCGGTTATTTAGAATTTCGACCGAATAAAAAATCGACTGAATAAAATGTCGACCTTCATAAATGTCTATCATTTAGAATTTCGATAAAATAAAATATTGAGTAAATAAAATATAGGCCACTTTAAATGTCGGTTATTTAGAATTTCGAATAAATAAAATATCCACCAAATAAAATGTTGACCATTTTAAATATCGATCATTTAGAATTTCGTTCAAATAAAATATCGACTTAATGTAATTCGATGAATTAAATTTTCGACCTTTTTAATTTTTGGGAAAAATCATGCGCCTCCACTCAACATGAACAACCTAGTTTGGACTGCGGCACGAAGGGTTGCGCAGTTACTGGTGACTCGAGGTTTTCGACGTAAAATACTGTATAATACGTAGAAAACTAGGTAAATTACATGCCGACATCTTCTTTCCATACATTACCTCACTTTTTCAAATTACGATCGTTGCAAAAATTAAAATTGACATTTTATGAATTTTAAATATTTATTAAAAAGTAAATAGTATTTTTAAAATTAAAAAAAAAATTTAATTCTACACCATATTTTACGTACGATCAATTGCAATTTGAATGTTTGGCAATAATAACAGATGAGTCAAAAGGGACCAAATCCAATGTTGCAAAATGTTTGCTCTGAAACAAAACCTATGAATACAAGTTATTGCATGAAATACAAAATAATAACTTAAACATTTAAAATAAATATAAGTATTTCTCAATTTTATGTTTATTTATTTGTACAAAGGTAAATTATTTTTAAATTACATACAAAGATGATAATGTACGTAGGTTGATGTTGTTATAAGGTCGCATGTGTATTATAATATACGAATAAAAACAAAAAGAAAGACGAAGATATTAATTGAAATGTATTGTGTAGTGCTTATCTGAGACTAAGAATATATTGGTCGACTGTTTTAAGGAAAGAAGAAATATTACAAAAAAAAGATCGAAGTTAGGGTTGAGGTTATTATATATTTGATTTAAATGATGGCACGATAAGTAAATAAGGTCCATAGCGAGACTCGAAGTACGTAACACTGGAACATGAAAGGGTGCATATGATCTGGATGATAGTCATGGTATTTTAAAATTTATTTGACTTAAAAGATACGGACAATCAAGTTCAGACGTTATAATTTTGAATAAAAAAACTAAAACTAACGTAATTCTTCTTTCTGACAGAGTGAAAAAATTAAATCGTCGACATAATTGTAAGTAGTTAGAGCCACGCTGTGGATATACGCCATCCACCTTATAAGCTTAATACTTCAACAAACGCTTTTGGATATAATCGATGTCGTCGGAATGATTAGCAAAATAGGGATTCCAATTGTCATTCGCATATTAAACCCTCAAACGAACTAGAGAGTAGAAGAGCATGATTAAAGTATTCGGGTTTGTAAAATCGCGAGTAGCACGAATTAGGAAGCCCACGGCCCTTGACGCACTAGCAATCACACCGGTATAGTGTTTGTTAAAATTTAGGTTAGAATCGAAGTTGTAGTTTTTTAAATTTTTACATTGCGGTTCCTTTGGCATGAAGCAAATATTTTAAATAACACATAATTTAAAAATATTTTTCAACAAATATTTACATGAACTTTGAGAAGTACATATAAAGTTTAACTAAATTTTAATCACATCTTTGAATATGTTACGGTAAAATTAAGTATTTTAAATACTTTCACTCTGATCAGAAAGGCGTAAATTTAAATTATGATATAAATTCTCAAGATTTTTTAAACGTTCTCTTGACAAGACTTTATTCTTTTTAAAATAAAACGTAAATTTTATTGTTGTTGCCGGAATACTCAACACTATTTTTGAAAATTCCGCTAATTCCGGACTCTATTGTTCCGCCATACTCCAAAATGTTAAAGGGGAAGAAAAAATTTTTTGTAATAATTTTGAAAATATGCCTCTTTTGTTAACATATTGAGCCCATTGGTCTAGAGCAGCTCCTTCCAAATTCTCTAAAATGAACTCATTTACTATTTTAAGTTGCTCTGTAGTCAATTTATAACCGCGGTAGAAAGGATTCAAAATATTTGCAGTTAAAGACAAAAGTTTATACATTTATTAAAAACTATTAAAAAATTTCCGGCATCAACAATGATCCAATTGCAAGCAAATGAACATGTGACGTTTTAAAGTTATGTAGCTCGTCCCAACACTGTCAAGCATGGGCAGGTTGCAGGAGGATGGATTTTAAAGAATTATTTAAACAATTATTTTATCTAGTTTTTATGCGCAAAATAAGTTTCTTTATATAATAATTTTAAATTTACCCGAGCAATCACACTGAGAAAAATGTTTAGTCAGAGCAACCAAAATTTGGTTGGGCCAACAAAAAAATTTTTTTGGTATTTAAGCAACCAAACTATTTGTTGGAGTCAACCACAAAATTTGGTTTAGTGTTTTTTGTTGTCATTACTGAAATATTTGTGGACTTTGAAAAATCTCATCTCCGCCTGGGATCGAACCGCTGTTTTAAAACTAAAGGTCGGGAGCTCTGACCACTGGAACTGGAAAATGGGGATAAAGTCTCTAATATGGCTCGAACTGCAAAATATGATTTAGAAGAAATTAAATAAACTTTTTTGGAGTTAATTTATCTTTATTCATTTTTAATCAATTCTTCTGGATGCCAGCATGGTTTAGCGCGCTTGAAACTCATAGAAATTGTTCATAATATTAGTACAAATGTATGGTAAAAAATTAAGATAAAAAATGTGGGGTTTTTGAGAAAATGGATAATATCTATTTTCAGAAAATCATTCACCATTCTAATAATTTTAAAGCTTTTTACAAATTTTAAACTGGAGTTTGAAAAGAAAAAGACAACTTACAAGACTCAAGAAAAAAATTGATTACATTAATTAGAAAAAAATTTCAAGGAAAACAATTTTTGTACACTGTACTTTTGGAGTATTTTTTGGAGTTTTACCGTCTTAAGATCAAATGCCCATAACTTCTTAGTCCAGTCAAATTAGACGAAAAACAAGGCATATCATGTTTTAACTCAGGACCTCAGTTTATTTGGTTAAACCCTTCATTTTGGGGTAAAAATAAATTACCTAAATTGTATACAACGAACTCCTTCGGGAACCTAATTTTTTTTGCAAAATAGGTACATCATAAAATGAGATTCTATGTAAAATCTCAAAAGTGTCAACTTTAAGAGACTGTATCTCGGAAACTATTAGAGCTATTGCATTGTTTTTTATTGCCGGATTTTTGCTAAAATCACGAAAAAAATGGGTTTTTTGAAAAAGGTATATCTCGGACAATTTTTAAGCTACAGGGTTGATTTTTTTCAAATTACTCAAAATTTTATACTTACACTTTCTTTTCTCTCTGAACTATTTTTACGCTAAAATTAAATGGGAAGCAGCAATTTGCAAAAATCTGATTTTTTGCAAAAAAAATTAGGTTCCCTAAGGAGTTCGTTGTATACAATTTAGGTACTTTATTTTGACCCCAAAATGAAGGGTTTAACAAAAAAAAACTGAGGTCCTGAGTTAAAACATCAAAAAATGCTAACTTGACTGGACTATCTGTAGAAACATTTTTTATGAAAAATAAAAAAATACATGTCTCTTCATATTTCATACAGAATAATATATTTCAGCGACTGGTAAATCTACGATTTGAAGTTAGTCGACCTGCATTCTTTAAAATGGATTCAGCCACATCTGAAAAATATAACGCAAACAAATGAATAAAATACGTTCTGTAACAATAGATATATTATACTATTGTTTCAATAGTAACTGCTTTTAATGTATTTTTATTTTGCTCCACTGGGTTATAGGCCAAGTCGAACAGTATTCTTATGAATTATTTCTTTTAAAAATTCAGTACACGACGCCAAATTAGTTTAATTCAATCCCTTTTTTAGATTTTTGTTTATAATTCTATATCTTTGTCTTTTGCTTAAATTATGTTATTTATACAGTTAGTTATACTATTAGTACTTTTAATAATAATGCTATAATATAACTATTATATAATATACTATTTTAATATAGTATTAGTACTACTAATAGTTATACTATGATATTGGTGTAAGTATAACGTATATGTAATAGATGTTTTGTAAGATAAAAAAATTATTTTTTGTTTTAGCTGAAAAATTTCTTGAATCCGTTGAAGTGAATCAAAACTATCCTGTACTTTTACTTCATTTAATAGATAAATCTGACTTTGACATGACAATTAGAACTGCAGGATCAGTTGCATTTAAAAATTATATTAAACGAAATTGGAAAGTTGTAAGTATTTATTTGTTATATTACGTAATATTGGCAATATGATAAGAATGAACAATATGTGTTTTAAAAAGTAACTTACTCTTACTGCAGTCATTGTGTTTCACTGCATAGAGGACTAGGAGTACCAGCTTGGATGAAATTTAAATTGTATTAATTTACCCAAAACGTCAGCATACGAACATTCTTGAATCTTCATTCAATCTAATCTTAATTTGTACTAATCATCATTTGTCTTACTTCTCATTTGGCATAATCTTAATTTAACCTAATTCTTATTTAATATAATATTTATCTGCCCTAAAATTCACTTGGCCTAAATTTTCTGTAATCTAATATTTTTTTAGCCTCATTTTTATTTGACCTAATTATTACTTGGCCTAAAGACCATTTCCCATAACTATCTTTTGAGATAATTTGTTTCTGGTCTAATTATCATTTGGACTAAACGCCGCTTAAACTAATTTTCATTTGATCTAATCTTTATAAAACCTAATTCTCATTTGGCCTAATCATACTATAACCTAATTTTTATTTGTTGTAATATTTATGTGACCTAATTCTCATTTGGCCTAATTTTACATTATCCTAATTGTTAGCTGTTCTAATATTAATCTAACATAATTCTAAATTGGCCTAATCTTAATTTAACCTAATTCTTTTTTGACCTAATCCTCACCTGATCTAATTCTGACTTGGCCTAAACTTCATTTGTCACCCGCTCATGAACGCGAAGCATGAGAGAGAAAATGACGAAACATATTTTTGTTCTTTTCTCTCTTATGAGTCACGTTCATAAGCGAGTGATATATGAAGTTTAGGCTAAGTGAGAATTAGATCAGGTGAGGATTAGGCCAAAAAAGAATTAGGTTAAATTAAGATTAGGCCATTTTAGAATTATGTTAGATTAATATTAGAACAACTAAAAATTAGGATAATGTAAAATTAGGCCAAATGAGAATTAGGTCACATAAATATTGCAACAAATAAAAATTAGGTTATAGTATGATTAGGCCAAATGAGAATGAGGTTCTTTAAAGATTAGATCAAATGAAAATTAGTTTAAGCGGCGTTTAGTCCAAATGATAATTAGGCCAGATGAAAATAATTATAAATGATAATTATGGGAAATTGTGTTTAGGCCAAGTAATAATTAGATCAAATAAAAATGAGGCCGATAAAGTATTGGGTTACAGAAAATTTAGGCTAAGTGAGATTTAGGGCAGATAAATATTACGTGAAATAAGAATTAGGTTAAATTAAAATTATGCAAAATGAGAATTATGAAAAATGATGATTAGTACAAATAAGGATTAGATTGAATAAAGATTAGGATAAATAATAATTAGGTCATATACAGATTAGGCCAAGTAATAATTAGTTCATACGACTTTTAGGCCAATTGAATTTAGGTCAATTAAGTTTTAGGCCATTTGAAATTTGGAGAATATTCATGCGTCTCCTGCCTAACACATTCGCATCCTGAGATCTGGTAGGGAGACTATTATTGGATGAGAACAGATGGAATTGTAAAGAGAATGTTAGAAGAGAGACTCCTCTTAGATTCGTTGAAGATTAGATTTCGTTGACGCCAGCAAGTATTGTGTGCATTAAAATTGACACAAAAGATGTTATTCACGTCTGTTGGAAGCGTTTCAAATATTGCTCACCTAATTCTTCAGGTGTAATGTTACTACACGGTGGAGCATAGACGCAAGTTATTTGGGTATTGCCAAACAAAGATCTGATAGTAATCGAGATGACATCAATCTGTGTATCAAGAACCTTATGGCAAAAAGCTTTAGAAAATTGAAAAAGCAATTTCCCTGCGAATCAGAATTAAAATCCCACATTTTATACTTATTGGACGGTCCTGTCGCACCGTTACAAACCTAGCTATTTCAAATTTAGAAGAATGTAAAAGCCTGGTCTCTGTTATGCAAACTTTATCCGGGTTCTAATTTAATCTAAAACGAGCTTATACCGAAGTCACCTAGTACGAGTGTTGGTACGTAAGTCGCAAGACCCTTTGCACCTAACCCCGGCAAGCTCGAACCCAGTATCCATCTCCAGAGTCCTGTCCTTTTTCAAAATTCCAGTAACTCTTCTACCAAGAGGTTGCGAATCCAATCTGGGTCTACAAAGGCATGACTCCAGCATTGATGTCTCACTGCAGTGTAAGCTGGACAGTGACATAAAATATGAGTAGAAGATTCCTCTTCTGCATCACATATAATCTGCATCTAGGTGAGACGTTTCTACCTTTTTTGTGCTGATGATAGTTTAGGAGGCCATATCCTGTGAGCAGCGTTACCACTGCTCTAACTCTGATCTTGTTGAGTTTTAGAAGGGACTCGACAAAGCTCCCGTTGAGTTTTAATCCCAACAGAGCCTTGGCTTGTCTACCTACAGTAGTCTTCGTCCATTCTCTGATGACATCCCCTAGACCATTTTTCAATGGCCTCTTTCACCGAGCCTGGCATAATGCCTACCGCCGGTTCCGGGCCTACCATAGTCATCTCAGACCCTCTACGGGCTAAGATATCCGATTCCTCATTTTCTCTGATTCCCGAATGTCCTGGTAGCCAGATTAATGAGAGTTTACTTTTCAAACCTAGCTCGTTTAATACCTTCCGGAATTCCCAAACTAGTTTTGATTCTATATTCAGATTACTCAAGACGTTTAAAGCCGCCTCTATCCGGGTTATAGGTCCAGAGAAAAATATCCACCTCTGGTCTTTTGGGGATGATACTTCTAGCATTTCAAAGCATCATTGAAAGCGATTTATGTACAGTTCCTGTGCTATGTATAGTAAAATATAATATTTAAAACGAATACAAAACTAGAACTAAAATAGAACTTTACACTATCAAGATACTAGTATATCGATCGAAAACTTCGTTGTTTTCGGACAAAAGAATTTGACAGTTCTTTTGTCCAAATTTTAAAATAGTCAATTATCTTTTTGGTTTCTTGAATCGGTTACACAAATGGAACACTACTATTCCAACCTAAGAACAGAAATATCTCCACAACAATATCTAAAAATTCTCTCCAGGGATTTGTAGTGACGGACAAACTGGGGTTTAGTTTCTTGTAGTGACATAAGTAATCGTGGAAAGGTTGGATTCACATATTATCTTGAATGGAGTAAGTGGTTTAAGAAGGACTGAAAGTACATCGAACCTTTTTAGTGTTAGCAGCAGCATAAACACCATAAAAGTCTTTAGTTAATTCTTTTATATTTTTTAAATCTCCTTCCTTTACATCTTGGTTTTTTGGATGCTCTTTAATGAAAAGCCCCAACATCACGACAATGATTAATATTAATTAATATTGATTAATAATTATTAAATATTAATTTATTAATTAAAAATTATTGATAATTATGTAATAATTATTAATTAATTAATGAATAAAAACATTTATTAATTATTTATTAATAAATATCTATAAATACATTGATAAAGTATATTTTTATTAAAACGAATTCAAAAGTTCGCGCGTGAAAAGTAACCGGCTGTCGGTAAAAATCTCCGTTGAATTGGGCGAATATGAGAAAAATGAAAAATAGGCACACCTACAGGAGTAAACGCATGGTTTATACTTGTGTGTGTGGCCGTAAGAAGGAGGCGCACGGGCGGCCAGGGGGAAGTGGAATTGCTGTGCAGCCAGGCATCACTGATTGACTATTTTAAAAGAAACCTTAACTACTTGAGCTAGACATTGAAGTGTCCTTTACTTCAGTTTTTACCCTTCAATACAGTTAATGTTAAATTTTATGAATACTTTCAGGAAGAAGATTATGGAGATCGAATACATGCTCAGGATCGAGAAACTATAAAAAGATTAATTATCAATCTCATGTTGCATTCTCCAGATTCAATTCAAAAGCAACTGTCAGATGCGATATCCATAATTGGCAAATATGACTTTCCAGATAAGTGGCCAGATTTAATTGATCAAATGGTAGAAAAATTTAATACGGGAGATTTTCATGTTATTAATGGCGTACTTCATACTGCTCATTCATTATTTAAAAAATATCGTTATGAATTTAAAAGTCAATCATTGTGGACGGAAATTAAATTTGTATTAGATCATTTTGCTAAACCTCTGACAGACCTGTTCATGGTAAGATTTTATAATAACTTATATATGTGCACCTTATGTTTGATGATACAAATAATTGTTTTAAATTTTTTCAGACAACCATGAAGTTAACGGAAGTGCATGCTAATAATATTGAGGCACTGAAAATAATTTATAATTCTTTAGTTGTTTTGTGTAAAGTATTTTACTCTCTGAATTTTCAAGTAAGTTATAACTTCTATAAATCAACTAAAAATTAAAATTTTTTTAAAAAATTAAACAAAAAAAATGTTTAAGGGGACATTCCATTTTAAAATGGGGAAAAAGAAGGCTTTTTTAGGATGTATTTCTAAAAAAAACCATGACATTTATTTAGAAATTTTTGTTTACATGTTATAAATAACTTATTGAAGAATAAAAAAAAAATTCTTCACATGTGGTCCAAGATGGCGGCGATGTACAACATTTTCAAAAATGTTCATTTTTCATGGGGGGATCGATTTCGAGATTTCTACAACAGATAGAGACATGACTACAGTACAAAATATCCAAAACAAAAGGTCCAAATTTAAATGGTCCAATTATTAGAAGTTCTAACGGACAAAAGGTACAATAATTAGAATGTCCAAAATACAAAAATAAAAAACATTTTCTTCGTTAGATATTTCTCTATGGACGGAACCTCAAAAAATCTATCTGTTGTAGAAATCTCGAAATCGATCCCCCCATGAAAAATGAACATTTTTGAAAATGTTGTACATCGCCGCCATCTTGGACCACAAGTGAAAAAAATTTTTTTTCATATTCTTCAATAAGTTATTCATAACATGTAAACAAAAATTTCTGAATAAATGTCATGTTTTTTTAGAAATACATCCTAAAAAAGCCTTCTATTTCGCCATTTTGAACTGGAATGACCGTACCCTTTAAACACTTTTTTTGTTTTTTTAAGTTTAAAACTTTTTTTTATTTTTTTGAAAAAACGCTTAATTTGTAATTTACATATTTAAATGAAATTTTGGCATTTATATAAAGAAGAAACGATCAGTTTGTTGTTTGCAAATTTACATATAATGTTTTTTCTTAATTATTGTTCAATTCATGACAATTAAGCTTCCTCATCATGATACACTTATATTCAAGATTAAAAGAAGGATTACAACTAAAATAGCGATCAATTTTACAAATATTGGTAAAATGTAAACTTTATATACATCAATCGATTCTTTTTCATACCAGGAATACGGTTTTGACAAAATTTATTAAAAATTTTCATGAAAAAAAGTTATTTCAAAAAATACAAAAACATTTTTTTTTCAAAAATTAAAAAAAATACGAAAAAAATTTTTTTTTTTTAAATTAAAAATTGATATAATATATAGATTTTAAGTAAAATATAGACTTTATATAGATTAATCAATTTGTTTTAATGCGAGAAATCAGTTTTTTGGGACAAAAAATTATATTTACACTGTAAACACAAAAAAAAAAATTTGTTTAAAACTTCAAATATATGCATTCTAGTTAAAAATAAGCCCATATAACCCGTTTTTAAAAAATCGAAAATCGTCACGAATACAAAGCTTCCTCGTGAGGAGAGGAAGCAAAAATTATTTGATATCAGTTAATGTTTTTCAATAATTACAATATCCTGTGTTACTATAATCAAAATTCATAAATTTTAATTTTGTACAGGAATTACCAGAATTTTTTGAAGACAACATGGAAGCTTGGATGTCAAATTTCTATACTTTGCTTACAAAAGACGTTCCATTGTTACAAACCGAGGTAATATTTTTATGATATTTAGCTTTTATATCTTTAAATAAATGAAAGAAGAATTAAGGAATAGAAAATTTTTATCATTTAAATTCTACTTTCATTATCATGTGTCTTGTAGTAGAATATTTTTTATTTATGAATTGCTTCTAACAGTCACTCAGTCAAGAAACTGAATAAAAACTATTTGTTAATTTTTTGTCTCAGGATGAAGACGAACCTGGGCTACTTGAACAATTGAAATCACAAGTTTGTGATAACGTGTGTTTATATGCCCACAAATATGATGAAGAGTTTCAAACATATTTACCTCAGTTTGTAACGGCAGTATGGAATTTATTAACTTCGAATGTTCAAAAGCCTAAATTTGATGCTGTGAGTTAAAATTTTATTTGGTTTTTCAATTTAAATACTTTTAAATATTTTTGTAAAAAAATGTCTGTTTTGATGTAACAAGAAGCACATGTTTATGGGCCTGAATACATTAATTAAAATGATTTTTTTTGTTTTAGTTGGTCTCTAATGCTTTACAATTCCTGGCAACAGTAGCTGATAGATCTCAATACAGACATCTTTTTGAAGATCCAACTACTCTAGGAAGTATTTGTGAAAAAGTGATTATTCCGAATTTGGAGTTTAAAGGTATACATTCCAATTTTATTTGTTACTTTTAAATTTTCATATCTTTCTTGAAAAAAAAAATATTTGATCGTTCTAAGTAAACTACATCTACATTTATACGCCCAAAATTTTTTCCGTGTACGTTACATTGTTTGCAATAGAAAAAAATCAAAATCATATTATAAATGCAAGTAAACACAATAATTGTATAAATTGATTTAAATATTAAGAAATACCTTAGTTTATAAGTTCATTTTTTTCAGAGTCTGATAATGAATTGTTTGAAAGTAATCCTGAAGAATACATTAGACGTGATATTGAAGGAAGTGATGTTGACACTAGAAGACGAGCTGCTTCTGATCTAGTTAAAGTATTTTCAAAATATTTTGAAAATAAAATTATAGAAATCTTCGGTTCCTATATCCAGGTAAGTTTTTGTTTCTTATTTTTTAATTTTTCAACCAAGAAGATGCAATGATTGCTAATTAAGTTTTTAAATAGCTCGTCGTGTCAATATTTAGTTAATGAATTTTAAGAAGATAAATTGCTGATTAATGTATTTATTTACAAAAGATAAACTAAAGGGAGAAATTAAAATATTTACTAAACAAAATAAACGAAACGATTACAACGTGAAAGATGCGCGAAAACTAGTTACAAAAGCTACGCGTGAACGGTGATCGTGATCACTTTAAATTGTTTATCTAAATAATGGTAAAAAGCTTTTCTTCTGGTAAAACCACCCATCAGAGATTTTACTATGGTAAAACCCAGTATAAAAGGAATTATTGAGCAAGCCGTTGGGACAATCAAGCAAGTCGTCTGCTCAATTGTCCAAACTACATCTGGACAATTGGACTGCTTGCTTAATCATCCAATGCATTAGGCCTAATCAACCTACACATATTTGGAGGCTACGCAAAGGAAAAATTGACTCATCTTTATATAAAATTTAAAAATATTAATAAAAATAGATAAACATTGAAAAATAAACTGTAAAAGAATCTGTAATTGTCAAAAACGATGAATTTTATGAAATAGTTTTTTTGGTTACTGTGCATGTGATTCTGCAGGTAAAAGTATATTTCTTTACCGACACTCGATATTTATTAATTGAAAATTTCTTTTCTTGAAGAAGGAAACAGTTGAATTTATTATATTTTAATGTAATCACTTTATTTATAGTTCTTTTCATACTAATTATGTGTTTCCATCTTCAAAAATAGAAATTTTCAATTGGTAAATATAAATAGTCGGTAACAAAAGTTTATTTATGCCCATAGAATCACAAGCGCACTGTTGCACTGTCAACAAAAAAATAACATTTCATGAAACTCTTTATTTTTGCCTGTTAAAGATACTGTCATACTTTATTTATCTATTTTTACTAATTTTTTAAAAGTTTTATATAAAGTTAAGTCAATTTTTTCTTTTCTTAGCCTCTAAATACGTGTAGGTTGATTGGGCCTAATGCATTGAATGATTGAGCAAGCAGTCCAATTGTCCAGATGTCGTTTGGACAATTGAGCAGACGGCATGCTCAATAATTCCTTTTTTACTGGGAACCTCTTAGAAGTAACTACTACAGTAAGACCGCTAGAAGTAAAGAATCGGGACCGTGACCTCGGTTTTTACGTCCGCGCCAGTGAACGAATCTTCAGCAATGATTCAAAAATTCTTTTACTTTGATTTGAGGAATAATTTCTAATCTTATCTAATCGAAAAGCGAGCGTAGTCCGTCGTCCCTTAATACGAGAGTTGACACTTAAGTCGTTAAACCGATTGCACTTAACCTCCATACCAGTCTCCCTTCCTATAGTCCTGTCCTTTTACAAAAGTCCAATAACTCTTCTGCCGAGAGGTTGCGAATCCAATCTGGGTCTATAATGGCGTGTCCCAATGGGATACCCCGGCCCATGAAGGATTATAGAGTACAAGAACAAGTACCCAATGAAATGGCGAAGCAGTTAGTTACAGTAATCTTGGCCATAATAACACCCCAACAGGAGTGGGCGTGAGTTAGCGAGGACAAGAATTGTGTACTTCCAACGGGGACCACGCAAGGTTCTGCTTCCAGACCGCAGTCTCATTATGGGTCCAGAAGAGCAGGCCGGGTCAACTCCGTTGAATGAAAATGGCAACATTCAGCGCCTCTACAACCAGCGTAGCAACTAATTTTTACTCAGCTTGTATATCTATATCTATTGTATGTATAGATATACAAGCTGAGTAAAAATTAGTTGCTACGCTGGTTGTAGAGGCGCTGAATGTTGCCATTTTCATTCAACGGAGTTGACCCGGCCTGCAGAAGAGGAGGCGTAATGCGTTCAAAAATCCCTCCTTAGTCGTCTCTTACGACACACGATGGGTTCCGTGAAGACAAATTATCGACCGGTCTTCCACGGCTGCCTTGCGAACATCGTGGCTAGCTTAATGCGTTTCCTCATCATCGGTTTGTCTTAACTGCGCATCTCCACAGAAGCGGTACTTAGCCACAAGGGTACGATCATCCCCGCCCCTTTAAGTCGTCTTATGTGACATGTAGTGGGTTACAGGCGACCTATTCTAAAGCCGGGAACGCCACGGTAACTTGTCTACCTACAGTAGTTTTCGCCCACTGTCTCATGACTTTCCCTACTCCATCTTTCAATGACTCCTTTCACCGCGCCTGGCTTGATGCCTACCGCAGATTCTGCACCTACCTTAGTCATCTCAGACCCTTTACGGTCTGAGGTATTCGCTTCCTCATTTCCTCTGATTCTCGAGTATCTTAGTACCCAAATCAATCAGAGTTTATTTTTCAAACCTAACTCGTCCAATACCTTTCGGCAATCCCAAATTAGGTTTAATTTAATAGTCGGATTTTTCAAGGCATTCAAAGCCGCCTAACTATCAACACAAATGTTGATCCTTTTGCCTGATTTTTTTCTCAAGACTAATCATTGCGACAGTCATTATCGAACTGACCCCCACCTGCCAAGAAAGGGTCAGGCAAATGTGAGTACTTCTAATAAAAGTCGGCTACGGACCGCAATTTGGGGATTTTACAACAACTGGGAGACAGATAGGGGTTTTATGCGTAAAAGCCCGATATAAAAAAGTATACGCTCAGAAATTGAAAAAATATAAAATTATAATTAAATAATTTTGTACCGCTTTGTTTAAACAATTATTAAATGCTATTGTATTATCTTGTTTCATTCGAAAACAATGATTCAAATTAATTTTTTATTTAGCTTTCTTGGATACTCAATTTACAAACAATAGTAACATTTTAAAATGAAGATATATTGTTTTCTTTCACTATTTTTCTCACAAAACATATAAATACTGATACTTTTAAATTTACCACTTGTCAAATTTGGCATACAATTCTCACTTTTGCGCTGAACTGACAATGAGAGTTAAATTTGTTGTTGGTCACTTCATCTGTCCGGCAGGTAATTTTCAGATAAGTTGAAATTTATCTGTCAGTTAGCGCTTTCTGGAGATTAATCAACTTGAAAATATTCTATCCAATAGTTAAGATTATCCGTAACCCTTAACTGGATGTGAATCAATTCATCATAAGAATTAATCAGTCATAAAATCCCTAACTAATCATGAGCGTGTAAATTAGTCGGTTAGAGGGATACAGTTCCGAAAGCATCTCCCCTTCGTGTTTAATAAAACTTGGTATACTAACGTATTTTGGTGCGCTGATTACGAAAATGATAGTGAAAATTGGCGCAAATTTGATTATCATGGTAAAAATTATAAAAAACACCATAAAATCATGGTTTTTTGCGATTATCCCGTAAAAAACGCAAAATTTCGAAAAAAGTTTTTGACAAAAGTTGTAGATCTCAAAAAACACACATTTTATGTTTTTTGCATTTTTTACCAAAAGTCATTATTTTTCGAGAAAAATCCAGAAAACCAAAAACACCATGATAATGAAAACATATACAACAGTCATGGATAGACATATTATTTGACTCGTATATAGTATCATATTCACCATTACTCAGGATCCAACGAATTCCGCAAAATACTTTCGGCCATATCCACCCCCTCTCGCCACGGTTTCGCCATGATAATCAAATTTGCTCCAATTTTCACTATTATTTTCATAATCAGCGCGCCAAAATACGTTAGTATGCTTACACTGAGAAAAATAATAATGTAATGTTAATAAAATAATTTGGTGGAGCACTTTTAGTTAAGATTACAAAAATTTAGTTGACATAACAGTAACGAAGGAAGCAATCAATCGAGAAATTTAGTTGGCTGTACCAAAAATTTCGTTCAAGCTTTTGCGTCTGTTAACTGAATAATTTGGTTCTCCAAACCAAACCGTCTGAATGCTCAATTGTGCATGCGCTGTTCTCGTAAATAATTAAATAAACGAATAATATATTTTCTACTGGATTCATAGAAAAAGAATAGAATAAAGAAACAATACTGAAGGTGACCGTTTGTATATACATTAAGTTTACCATATACAAATAATCAATCTCAATGAAAGTACATGTAAAAAAATGTATAGGATATAAAACGTGTGTTTTTTTAGACCTACAACTTTTGTCTAAAACATTTTTCGAAATTTTGCGAGTTAATCGCAAAAAATCATGATTTTATGGTGTTTTTTATAGTTTTCACCATGAAAATCAAATTTTCGCCAATTTTCACTATCATTTTCGTTATCAGGGTACCAAAATACGTTAGTATACCAAGTTTTATTAAAATCGGCGGGGGGATGCTTTCGGAACTTCATCCTAATAAAATTATCAAAACATAAAGTCATAAGGTATTTTTAAATTTAATTATTTTTTTAGGTTATGCTACAAAGTTATAATGATAAACCTGCAGAAAACTGGCACAGTAAGGATGCAGCAATATATTTAGTAGTAAGTTGTGTTAGTAAAGGACAAACTCAAAAACATGGTGTAACACAAAGTAGTAGACTAGTATCATTACCTGAGTTTACAAGGGAACATATATTTCCAGAATTGTTAAGACCAAATGGTAATTTTTATTAATTTACTATATAATTATAATTTTATTTTAAAAATGCGTAAGTGACGCTCCACGAGAAAAGGGACCTAATGACCCAAAAGCGAATTTTACAGAAATTTTTACTACTACGTCGATATATACGAAATGAAAGAGGCTCACAGACACGGAAAGTCTAGTGGTAGAGGAAATGGTGGGGCTGGTTCTCTGAGCTGCCTCGCACCGACACGACGAAAAAAGTACTCATGTTTCATTGTTAATTACACAAACAGTAAATAATAAAAAAAATTTTTCTACTTTTGCATGTGAAAGAGCAACTTAAAATCTATCGATTAACATCAAAAACTCAAAATTCATTTTTGTGACCATAAGGTCCCTTTCCTCTTGGAGCGTCACATATTAAAAAAATCTCTTACTGTTATGTGATAAAACGGTCTTCTTAGACTTTCTTTGAGTAAATGAGAATGAATCTCGTTTTGTTAGCACAAATTAAAAATTAATATTATTTTTATAAGATTGCATTGCTTTTAATTTTAACTTAATTTACTAAGTTTTACTTTAATTTAATATTTATAACATTTTGTTCACTGTTTAATTTTTAAAAATTTTAAATAAATACACTGGAGTTTCATTTAGTAAGAATATTGCTGTTGAGATTTATTTAGTAGAAAACAATAATTGTTTACGTGCAGGTATGGCTAATTATTACGAAACAGAGAAAAATATTGTTTTTAAAGAAGAAGTCACAAATCCATACTTTTACTAACAATGAAATAGATTCTGTTGTAGTCACAAATCGTTATATTTATTTCAGTTAATGAGTTTCCTGTACTGAAAGCTGATGCCATAAAGTTTATAATGACATTTAGATCTGTACTACCACGTGAACACGTTATTGGTTCTTTGCCATTACTTATTAGGCATTTGACCGCTTCAATGACTGTCGTTCATACTTACGCCGCTTGTGCTATTGAGAAGATACTTGCTCTTAAAGACCAAGAAAATGTTTCTCAGTAAGAAAATTTTTATATATTACTTAAAATTTAAATTGCATGCAATTTATGAAAGACAGTTTGTCAGTCATTTAAAATACATAAAAAATTTAGGTGGATTTGAGCAATGGTGAAGTATTGTTAAAGATAGGCGTATTTTTTGAAAATTAAAATCATACCCTATAAAAATGACACGAAACGTGAAAAAGATAAACATTGATTTTAAAATATGTCCTTTTTTTCAAAGCACGGACAATTTTTGCAAATGCTAAAACACCAAGTATCCTTATCTTATAAATTTCCTAAATCCGAAAGATTGTGCGAAATCATACAAAAATGCGATTGAAAAACGAAAAGTAGGAATGTAATATAATAACAGTTGCGACTTTGTGCTCCATGCATGCTTCTGCCATCTAACGGCGGCAGGACATAATGAGCTTGTTATTGTATTATTTTCTTACTTTTCGTTTTTCATTCATGTTTTTGTATGAATAAGCATAATTTTTCGGATTTAAAAAATTTATAAGATAATACCAGGTTAAAATACGAGTTGAAAAAACATTGTGTCGTTAAAAGGTTAATGTGACAACACGATGACGGATTAATTTAATCCTATGACTATGCCACGACAAATGCTTTTTAACTTTAATTAATGTATGCGACGTTTGTAATTTTTTGTAAGGATTAATCCTTCATTAGTTTGAACTATTCGATTTTTGGGCAGATTTCCCATTATGTGTTGCGATTCTGAATTTCGAAACCGAAAGCACTTTATGCATGAATTTATTGTATGTTTAACTGCGTTTTTCCGTCTAATACCCAATAATGATTTCGAATTTGGTACAGAGTATTTTGAATTTCAGCATGCAAGGAAATTTCATGATAATGTTTAATTATTAAATTCGTAACATGATGATCTTTTGGTAAAAGAATTGGGTGTTTTTGATCAAATGATAAATTTGAATTTTGAATTCTCCCCCTACACGTAAAATTCTGTTTTTGTCTAAAAAAGGATTTAAAGATTTTAATGAGCTTTTTTATTAATTTTCTTCGAATTTTGTAAATCATGGATTTCATGGGCAAAAGTTGCGTTTTGAACTAATTTTATTATTCGTTCGCGAGATTTTTGCACTTCCTTGACTGACAATCGGTCAGAATCGTGTTTCATTTTTAAACAATTGTTTTCAAATGTAAAACAATAGGCAATTACTAGAAATAATCTTGTGAAGGATGAGAACCTTGACAAGATTGATTTGTCATTTAATGTAATCTTTAGAGCAACAGTTTTTCGCACTTCTGTAAGAGGAACCTTTTGTATTGGAGAAAGTGGCCAATTTAAACTATCATTAATTCACCATTCAGGACCGAATTTCCATTTATCGTTTTTTATGAATTTGGACAAAGTTTCACCTCTAGAAAGGTCGTCAGAAGGATTTTGAAGGGTTGAAATATATTTCCACTGAGAACAAGGAGTAAGCGATCTGATTTCTGACACTCTGTTCGCAACAAAGGCTTTTAATGCGCTTGGTTGTGTATTGATCCAATTAAGAGTGATAGAATCAGATCAGAAATGTATTTCATTTAATGTGATTGGCATCACCGATATAACTCCCTTATATAATTTTGCCAAAAGTAGAGCTGCAGATAATTCTAATTTTAGAATTGTGAGTTTGAAATTCAAGGGACCCACTTTAGATTCTGAACACAATAAACGCGAGATACAGTCATGATTTTTGTTTGTAGATCGGAGATAAATGCATGCACCATAAGCAGTCTCGCTCGCGTCGCAAAAACCATGAAGTTGAATAGTTGTATAATCCTTTATTACTATTTGTCTATCTAACGAAACCTGATTTAATAGTGGTAACTCTTTTTTGTAATTAATCCATCGTGTATAAATTTCTTGAGGGTCAGATTCGTCCTAATCAATTTTTTCTTGCCACAACCTTTGCATACTTAATTTAGCTACAACGATTATAGGACCTAATAGACCTATAGGATCAAAAACTTGAGCAATTTGAGACAAAATTGTTCGTTTAGTAATACGCGTTTGTGTATTTGATTCAAGAATGTTATACAAAAGAATATCATTTTTAGAGTTCCACTGAATTCTTAATGTTTTGATCGATTTTGATGGATCATTGAATAAATCTAGATCCTTCAATTCAATTGGTAATGACGCGATGAGTTTTGGCTCATTTGAAGACCATTGTCGTAATTTGAAACCACCTAATGTGGGTAAGTCACGGTGTTTAAGGTATATGTTTTAATAGGATCAATAGAATTTTCTCGTTACAGAATTTTTTGAAATTTTCTGTCCTCTTCATGCATTAGTACTTGACGATACATTTTTTCAATATCAGCTAACAGTACAAAGTTGTGTATTCAAAATCTGTTTAAAATTGTAAATATATCATTTTGGATAGTGAGACCGACCATAAGGATATCATTGAGCGAAAGATTCGTGCTTGTTTTTGCGGAACATGTGACCTAACTGTGAATATTCTCGCATAAATTTTGCATATTCTTTCTTGAATAAGGGATGGCATCAATGGCATAAAAGCGCTTTAACGCCAATGAATGTGAATCGCCTAAGTTATTGATGTTTTCTTTAAAGGGTTGTTTTACTATATATTTACCTGCTGATTCGCAAGTTGTATTTTTTTAAGAAATGCTCTTCTACTTGAGCTTCTTCACTAGACATGAATTTTGTTTCAGGAGGTTCTTCGATTTCCCAAAACCTTTGTAACTTTTGATTTCATGAAAATGACACAAGATTATATACCATTTTTTTTTGAATTGGGAGGAAATGTGCTAACCTTTCCTGAGATTGTCCAACCAAATTTTGTTTTTTGAAGTCGAGCTAATTGATTATCAATTTTTATTTGCCCTAAGCATAAGATCTCAGAGAAAACATCTGCACCTATAAGAGCATCGATTTCAGAAGATCGGTAAACAGTCGGATCGGCCAAGGATAAATTGGCTGGTATTGTTAATTAAGTTGGATCAATTTGTTGAGAAGGTAATGTTTGTGTAATAATAGGTACTACTAACAATGAAATGTTTGATTCATCATTTTCGCGTATTGAGGAAATTTTAGTATCGATAGAATACTTAATACTTGTTTCTAATTCATTCAAAGCTACTATTGGAATATTAATTTTTGTACGCTTTAAATTAAGAAGTTTCGTAAATTTTTCTGTAATAAAGTGCGCTTGAGACCCGCTATCAAACAGAACGCGAACTATTTGTCTTTTGTTATTATTATCAAAAAATGCAACTTGTGCCGTGGCTAGTAAGACTTGATTAGAATGATTTGCTTGTAAACTATTTACAACTAGTGAAGGTTCTTTATTAAAATCTTGTTTATCACTGTGTAAAAGTGTATGATGCTTATTATTACACTTTTGCAAGGGCTACATACGCATTTTACAACCGTATGACGTTTGCGAAGACAATTAAATTAATTTTATGTAGTATTTCTTCATTTTCTGGGTTTTCGACAATTTTTTATAACTATTTTTTAGCAATAAATAATTAAATAAAAAATTTTTAATAACATCATCAGATGCGTTTTTTTTATTAGGAATCCATTGATAATAATTAAATAATTAAATAAGAAAATAAGTGACTAAATTTATAAAAGAATATATAAAATTATTCCTCACCAAGCGCAACCAGGTTAGAGTTGCTGGAGCTCTATTTGGCTAAAAGATAAATATGAAAAACTACGCGGAAGCCAGTTAATTTAATAAAATTAACAAAATAAAATAACATGAGAAAGTAGGTACCGTTAGGAACCCTAACAAAAAAATATAACCTGTCACGCACAACAGTCGAACAAAAAGTGAGTATCGGACCTGGTAAATTTTGGAAATGTGTTAATTGACTGAACTAATGGCACATAGATCGATGTAAGGTTGCAGGGGCCAACTATTGACCTTTCAACCCTTACCCTTATTTAACATATTCGATCAACAAATATCTCGAAGTAACGTTAAGAATTATTTTCCGTCACAATTTAAAACTGTTAATTTTACAATTTATTTACTAGGATTTGATGTTTCGTAAAAAAATTAAATTAATGACAACAATTTAATCACAATTTATCGTATGTTTTAAATAATATTTTCTATTGCTTTAAAATATCCAAAACCTAAACTATATTCTCAAATATATAAAATTTATATAGTACCTCTTATTTAAGCCAGACTAAGTTTTTCTTTAATTTTGCAGAGTACAGGAAAAGGAAATTGGGCCTTTAGCGGTAGATTTATTGAATCAGCTGTTTGCTGCACTAGAAATTGCTGGTTCTGAAGATAATGAATATGTTATGAAAGCGATTATGCGAAGTTTTGTTATTTTACAAGATAACGTAGTACCTCATCTTGCTAATTTATTGCCTAAATTAACAGAAAAACTTGTAACTGTAGCTAAAAATCCAAGTCGTCCAAATTTTAATCACTATTTATTCGAAACTCTCAGCTTATCCATAAAGTAAGTTTCAATTATTTCATTTATAAAGTATTCTATTTCAAAACAACCCCTTGTAAACAACTGACAATTTTTTAATACATATTTCTTCTATTTAATAAAGGAGTTTTGACAAGTACAAATTCTAAACTTTATGTTGGTAATAAGAATTTTAAAAAAATTACATAATTTATATACAATGACTGTAAATTTTAATTAATTTATCAGAATTCTCTAAAATGTTCATTAAAATCTTGAAAAAATAAGAATTAGAATATTTAAGCTTTTTTAACATAGATTTGATCAAAATCAAAAACAATTTGTTTTTAGATATTTAGAAGTTAAACTTTCAAACTAACTTTTGGAAGAAATTATGTAAGGAGTCGATTTGAAATATAATACCTCATATTATAAATTGAATTTGTATTGTTAAAATACTAAAAATTTTAAATATTTTTATTTTTACAGGATTGTTTGTAAACGAAATGCGGAGGCTATTGTTTCCTTTGAAGAAACACTTTTTCCCATTTTTCAAGCAATATTACAACAAGATGTTCAAGGTTTGTTAAAAAATTTAAATATTTAATGTATTCTCTACCAGCTAGTTTTTTTTCTAAATAAGATCTATTAGCGTTTAACTTTAAAATAAGAAAGTTAGTAGATTCATTTCATTATATTTCGACTAAAGTGATAATAGACCATTTTAAGTAAAATTAATACTTTCAGAAATGATTCTGTAAGATATGTAATGGTAGACTTTCGTGCATTAATAAAAATACACGTGCACCGTCTGCATTAGAACAATAATGACACAAGCCTGCAAAAAAAACAAAATTTTCGTTGTCAGAGATCGAGAAGTCATTTCCCGTAGTTTTTGGTGCACTGAATCCGAATCTGACAACGTTATTGCCAGTTTTTGAAAATTTCTACCAGGTAAATCCGACGTGCTAGAGACTTGGCATATGAATCAAATTAAAGCTTGAACCCTGTATTTTACGATGATATAGCTATATTGATAACAACAAAATAAATTAGCGGATTACTAATAGGATGTCAAATTTTTAAAATTAAATACGGCGGATCTAATATGTCGGATTAAATCGATTTTTTAAAAAATTCGCCCTCTATATTGAATCCGCCATTTTGAATTTTAAAAAACTGACATCATATCCGCAATCCGCGACCCTGAAAACCCGCAAGTGACAAATTCCAATCGAATCCAAGTATTTTTAAAAATAGTTTTATTCGCGAACAGTTGTGAGTCAATTTTTATGCTTGACAACTTAAAAAAACCATTTTTGACAGCTAATTTATTTTGTTGTTGTCAATATCGCTATATCGTCGTAAAGTACAGGGTTGACGCTTTAATCCATTTATTAAACAGCAGAACAACATCCTCTGTTATCACGTCGTTTTTGTAAAAATGTTAATGGGACACTGACCATCTTTTCTTCAATGTTTTCCCGTTGGGTAGAAAGCTTCTCCACAGTTTTAACATTTCATGTTGTTAAAATTATATCCATTACCTTTATATCTTTGCAAAAAAAAAATTATTTTATCAAAAAAATCAAAAATAAAAAACTGTCATTATATCTTTAATATTAACTTATTCCAAATTAATATAACTTTCAATTTTTATAAATAATTAAATTTTAGTAGATTTGAAATTTCTTTAAATCACAATTGCCAGAGATTTTTTTTACATTCTTCACATAAGAATTAAAGTTTAGAGAACTTTTAGATTCAAAATCTCTTAAAAAATTGAATTTTTAAAAAACTTTTTGTAATTATTGAAAATAATTATTTTGGTATAGCTACAGTAAAGGTATTATTAAATAATTGAATTTCAAGATTGAAATAATTGAATTTTAGAAGAAATGAAGCTAAGATTTCTTAAGAAATAATTGACTTTTAGGAGACTTAAGATACATATTTTATAAATAATTGAATTTTGGAAGATTTGCAGTTTAGATTGTTTAGATTGAAACAATTGAACTTTTGAAGATTTGCTGTTTCTATTGTCAAAAATAATTGAATTTTAGGAGATTTTGAATTGAAAAGTCAAGGAATTTTATCAAAAGTACTTGAAAATTATTAAGTTTTGAAAAGTGCAACATAAAGTCTGTATTTTTGAAAATTTTAATTCAAATTTTTTACTTTTAAAAATTGCCTTATTTTTTAAATTGAAAATATCTTAAAATGTTTACATTTGGATCAGGGAAAAATTCAAAATTTCTTCTAGAATTCAGGGGAAAACCAAGTAAAATATTATTATTTATAAATGCTAACCGTTTTCGTCTTGAATAAATTGCTTTTCTCCTGTATATCCTTCTTCCTGATGATTCTAGTCCATGAGGAATTACAACCACTGACACAGCACGAGCTCATTTTACAAATTGCTTTTATTTTAATTGTAAAACCAAACTTTATACTTTTTTCACATATAATTTTTAAAAAACACAACCGTCGATATCAATCAGCTTTTCATATGTATTTGCAGCCATTTGCTTTTTAAATGTACCCATAGAGTGGGAGCTCCTTATACTACTTTGTGGCCAAGTCTCTAGCACTTCGGATTTACCCGGTAGAAATGTTAAAAAACTGCCAAAAACTTGATTTTTGGGACTTTTACACACTCTTTTCTCAAAATCCTGACTTGATGGGAGGTTTTTGTTGTCTGATTCGGATTCAAGGCACCAAAAACTACAAAAAGGACTTCTCGATTTCTGACAACGAAAATTTTGTTTTTTTTGCAGACTTGTGTTATCTATTTATGCTTTAAAAACCCGATCGATTTCCAAAAGTTTTGCCAATCTTGGTCCATTATTTTAACCAATATTGGACGAATTCTGGGAGTGTAGAGACCAATGCCAATTAAAAAAATTAATTATTAAAACTAAGATATAATAAAATTTTTTGTTATATTTATATATTATATTTTATTATACAGGGTGTTCCAAAAGTATGGAAACTTGCAAATATCTCGAAAAGTACGAATTTTTGTAAAAAAATGTTCAAGACAAAAGTTGTTCCAAACAAAAAGATGTACATTTTTGAAACCAAAAAATTGGGCCCGGAGCCCAATGTTAGGCCCTACAATGAAAAAAGTGGTTTTCTTAAATGAGACCACTAATTTTCAGTATCAAATTCGTAATCCCCATGAAATTCTGCGTTCAGACATGTGGTATAAGTGCCCAAAATATTGGGCCCAATTCAAGGTATGGGTCCAAAATTTATCAACAGATTAATAAATTTTAAAAAATCGAATCTTGGAGGGATTTTGATCTAATTTGATTTAATTTTTTTAAATACCCACTTTAAATAAAAAAATTTTAAATACATACAAAAAAATTATATTAATTAGAAATAGGATAAGTAAATTAAACAATTAATATAAACACATTTATTACAAAATTTAAGTAAACACAAAAACATATAATAAAATTCTGTTTGACAGAAATAAATGATATCTCAAGTTCAGGTCACCAGAAAAATAAAATTCGACCAGATTATTAAAAAATAAGCTTGTCTTTATTGATATGAGCTAGAATTTTGTACATAGGATAAAAATAAAAAAAAATGCCTGACTTTTCATTTTTGACATTTTTTAAAAATATTTATAGTTAAAAAAGTAGACGAAATGTTAAGAAATAATTGTCTACTTTTTTTAGCACTAAATACATATTTTTAAAAAATGTCAAAAATGAAAAATGTCAGCCATTTTTTTTATTTTTATCATATGTACAAAATTCTAATCAATAACAATAGAGACAAGCTTACTTCTTAATAATCTGGTCGAATTTTATTTTTCTGATGTCCTGAATATGAGATATTATGTCCACTAGTTTCAAGTAGGGATAATTTTCGTCGGCCATTATTCCATCGAAAAAAAGAAAATGAAATGGTTTTTAATAGTTTAAAACCTCTTCTTTTAAATGTGAAACATTTATTTCTATCAAACAGAATTTTATTATATGTTTTTGTGTTTACTTAAATTTTGTAATAAATGTGTTTATATTAATTGTTTAATTTACTTATCCTATTTCTAATTAATATAATTTTTTGTATGTATTTAAAATTTTTTTATTTAAAGTGGGTATTTAAAAAAATTAGATTTTAAAAAATATTTTAATTCAATTCTTTTCAAAATAATTGAATTTTCAAAAATAATTAATTTTTAATTAATTTTAGTAAAATTTAAAAAAAACGAATTTTTAAAGAATTGTAATTCAACATTTTGAAAATAATTAAATTTTACAAATTGTCACAAATAAATATATTACAAGCATTTTTTTCTGTCTATTTAGTCAATTTTATTTCGAATCGAAATATTAATTTTAAAAAAATTTTATTTCAACTTTAAAAACCATTTTGTAAAGGCCACAATCTTTTACAAAAAATAAAATATTTAAAAATTAATTTTTCATTAATTAATACATTTTTAATTATAATAAATAATTTTTGAATAATAATTTTGATTTAAATGTTTAAAAAATAGAATTTTTGTGTTCACTTTCATTTCTTATTTTAATATATTGAAATTATTTTCTTAATTATTTTTAAAACGTTTTTTCTTGTCTTTAACAATACTAATATAATTGTTTATTAATAAATAAAAGAATTTTAAATTAATTTTCGCAAATTTGTGAATTTTTAATTAATAGATAATATTTAAAAAAATAATTAATTTTATTATAACCTTTTCACATGACCTTCAGTCATGGTTTTACAGCATTATTTCGATACACTTTTAATTTTTATATTCACCTGCAATGTGAATATTCAGAATATTCAAATATCTCCGTGAAAAACATTTTCAAATGAGCCCGCCCTTTTGGGTCGATAAGTAGGATTAATTGTCTATCAGCAAGTTGTAGAGCCTGTGGAAGATTTTTTTTTTCTGCCAGATATCTGTAGTGTAGTGGTTAGGGTCTTTAGCTAGCGCGCAGCGAACGTAGGTTCAATCCCCAGCACCCCAAAATTTGTTTTCAAAAGTTCTTGCTCAATCAAGTATGCAGTGCTTGATTCAATGTGAAACAAAGCATTAAAGCAGAGCAACAATGTTTGTATATTATTTATTTTATTTTTATTCCCAGATAGTAAATTTTTTTTATTGATAATAATAATAAAGATCTATCTATCTATTTATTATTATTATTATTATTAATATTATTTTTGTATTTTTTACAGATATTTCCGTCCAACATTTCCTGAAAATTTCATTTCAATTTTTGCGACGAACATTTCCTGAAAATTTCATTTAAATCTTTACTCAATTTTCGCGACGAACATTTCTTGAAAATTTCATTGAAACTTTTACTCAATTTTTGCGACAAACATTTCATAAAAATTTCATTTTTTTTACTCAATTTTCGCGACGAACATTTCCTGAAAATTTCATTTAAATTTTTAGTCAACTTTTACGCCAAATATTTATATTGGTGGGACATTTAAATCTTTATGCAATTTTCATTAAACTTTTCAATTAAATATTCCCAAGATTTCAAGGAAATCTTTACGAAATTTTTAGTAAAGATTGGCTGCTGTGGGGGGCTTAGAC